CCCTGAGTGCAGGCAGGGAGTCTGGGGTGTGGGGGGCTCTAGCTGAGCATCCCCGCTCCTGGATGGACACACTGCCAGGGGAAAGGGGTCAGGCAGTCAGAGGAGGCTCAAAGCTGAGCCAGCCCTCAGCTTGTGCCTGCTGGTGAGAACAGGAGCTCTGCTGCCAGCGTATCTTGGGGTCTAGGAAAGTCAAAAGGGCAGGAGAGACAAGGGCTGGGAAGGTTCTTTCCCAAATCACCTGGGGTCCGACTCCAGTTGTGATCACAGCTGGCTGGGGGTCAGGGGGAGTGCCTCCCATCAGCCAGGAGCTCTGGGACAGCTGATTAATTCAGAGCAGAGATGTAAGAGCAGGTCAGTTCACCCTGAAGTTCACCTCCAGCTTCCCCTAAACTCCACTGATGGATGGGGGCACAGCAGTGCCTAAATATCAGATTGAAGCCCGGTTTTAACAGGCTCAGAGGGTGACCTGAACTCCACCATGGTTTGTAACAGGACCCTCAGCTGAGAGGGAGAGGAATCTCCAATCAGTGGTCTCCAGGGGATGTCTGGATCAAATCAGACACTGAACCAGTTTAATCCTTCGTTCAGCAGAGCTGGCAGTCAGGTGTGGTGTGACTAACACACCTTTTTCTTCTCCACAGCATCTTCCCTAATATTTTGACAGGGATATTCCCTAATATTTACCAGGCCTGTCTGGAGGATTAATCACCCCTTTCTCTGTAATCAGCAGATTGCACAATTACTTAATCAATTGCAGTAATTTGCAAATTCTTTCAACAAACAGCTCCACCGGTGCCTGTGGCATCCACAGACCTCCCCAAGCCCCGTCCAACCCCAGCTCCTTCCCCCAGCTCCTCTCAGCCTGCTGGGAGCCTGGGGAGCCTCTCTGTGCTGTTATTGCTGGCTTACCTTGAGCCCAGGAGTCCTGCAAAGCCAGAACATGGATTAATTGTTCAAAACACAGGGGAATTCACCCAGCTCCTCCATCCTGAGCCTGCTGGGGAGGGAATGTCCCAGCAGGGTGACAGTGCGGCCCCCAAAGTGGCAGAAGGAGGGGGAAGCTGATGGACAAAAGGCTCTTGGCTGCCCCTGATGCAGCTGTGTGGGCACAGATAAGAACTCTGGAGGAAACCAGAGTGATGCTGAGGGCGATGCAGGCTCCTTGAGACCTTAGTGTGACCATCCTGCAGGCAACAAGAAGGTGTTTAAAGCCTGAAGGAGTGAACTCAGCAGAGAAATCAGGAGTTCTGCAAGGGCAGGGAGACTTGAGTGGAGAAGAAGAAATCCCTTGTGCACTTGCATCAAATGCCAACATGAGCCAAACAGAAAGGAAATGAATAAAAGAGATGTGATGGGAAAAGCAGGGGGATGTGATAGGACCCTGCTCTTGCAGAGAGTGTCCAGGTGCATGGCAGCTGGATCACAGGCTGGGATATCCCCCAGAAAACAGTCTGGACAGTAACCAGCAATGATCTTGGCCCTACCCTTGCCTCATGCCCTTGTATTTGTATTTTCCCATGTTTTTATTTTCAGCTCTGCAATCAGAGGTTTATCTTTGGAGAGCAGTGTGGTCAGCTTGCACGCTCTCAGGTCCAGTGTGTGCTGGGAGGAGGAGAAGCAAATGAAGCTGAAAAGACAAAATCTCACCTTGCACAAAGAGAGGGAAACGTGCAGGCAGCACTCAGGGCGTGCAGTTCAGGGTGGAACTGGGAACCTGAGTTTGGACATTGCACCTCTCTGAGCCCTCCTGAGTGCTGAGATCCAGGGAAAGTTTGCTCAGGAAGCTTCTGCCATCACCCCTGGCTTGTAGCAGGATTTAGGATTGCTAAACAGCACAAGCACTGCCCTGCTCCAGCTCTCGACTCCTCACGCTGCTGGTTTCTGGTATGATCAGTGCTGTCCTGACATTTTGCTATCAGATGCTGAAATCAAAAGGTGAATTCAAACCTGAAGAGCTCTGGGATGCCACAAACTGGGAACTTTTGACCTGATGTTTAAAACATTTTGCAACAATCGAAGTTCTTCTGAGAAATCCAGGGATGTGACTTTGCAGGTTTGCTTTGCCGTGACAGATAGTCAGAAGCAGTTGCTAAATCCAGAAACCAAAATAAGATTTTAACTATATTTGACTCTTGTTTGCCTTGCTGACTCAACACAGCTACAGCTGTGGGTGCCAGATGATATTCCTGGACATACAATAGCAACGCAGTTATGACCTAAATGCTGATTTCAGAGCTGCTGTCATTGACTGAGGGTGACTCAGAACCCGCTGCTTGAGATTTGTTATTTGTAATTTGCCTTTTATTCCTCAGCTTAAACTGTGCACTCACCTAGTTTGGGCTTGGAGGATGCACTTTGACAAAGAATTTTAGAAAGGACAGTGGAACAGGGTCACCTTCTCCTTTAGGTGTCCAGCTGTGTGTTTTTAAGGTGGGTGTTAAAGTCGAGGCACTAAGATGCCCACCCAATTCTAAAGTTCCTAGACCACATGACTAATTACATCTGTGCTAAAAAGAAGGCAGGATAGGTAAATCCATCTGCAGCTAAGTCACAAACAACCCTTGCCAAGAGATTGCTTGTCCAGACTCTGTGTGGAAAAACCTATTGAGTCATCAGCCTTCCTAGACATTGGGAATAGCTTAGTAAGGCTTTAAAAAAAACAGGAGAAAGGCTAAATTGATCATATTTTGGAGATGGGATGTGAAGCATCCAGGACAACTCCCTTCATGTAGATGTCTGGGGGTGTTGTGTGTCTGGGAGGTTGTGAGGAGCTGAGCACGGAGGAGTTAGGTGTTATCAGACAGGTCCTGCAGGCACTGGAGAAGGAATCACTTGCAAGGGTTCCCTGGAAGTATTTTGCAAATTGTTTCTTGCCTCTCTTCTGGGGTAATGGAGAAGCTGCAGTGGCTGCAGGCACAGGCTGAGAGGGATGAGAGGCTGGGAGGGCAGGGCACCAAGTGCCTGCAGCTCCTGGGAGATGTCCTGGCTGAGCAATGGGTGACACCACAGCAGGTGGCTCTGTGGAAGGGACAAACACAGGCCCTGGCAGAGCTGGGCAGGGGTCCCCCATCACCCCTCACCCAGCAGCAGCTGGCCCAAAGTGAGTGCTGGCTGCCCTTTCACTCTGCAGCAAGACAAGGAGCACAGAGGGGACAGGGTCCAGCTGACAGACACGGCCACCACCCAAACCTCAGGGTGCAGATCCATGCCCTGCTCCTCGAGGCACCAGAAGTCTGTGAAGATCTCGGGGGCCACCTTTATGCCCTGTGTGACAGTGGAAAAGCTTGTCTGTAGCTGTGGGTGCTTGGCTGGCAGGGAAAGCAGGTTCTGTTCCAGCCAGGGTATGTCCCTGCCCCCGAGATTTAGGTACAGGTGATGTTGGGTCACGCTGGAAGGAGGCTGGGCAGGGGATCCCAGTGCTTTGCTGCACTGGTGTGCCAATAGCACCATTTTTGGGCCAAAAAAAGGGGTGAAAGTGGCTCCCAGGACACGCTGAGTGTGCTGCTGTTGGGAGATGGAGGCGTTTTGTTCTGCTTTTTTTTATTTTCCATTGTGCATGGGCACTTAACCCAGCTTAGCCTACTCTGACAATAACACTTTGTTTCCCTTAACCAACATCACTTTTTAAATGATGCAAATAATTTTAGTGCATCCAAACAGGAAGTGGCTGAGTGTCTGGGTGTCTGAATCAACATCCTGGAGGCTGGGCCTTTGCCACCAACAGAATTACTAAATATAGAGCTGCCTATGGATGGAAGTGAAGCTCTTGGAAATGGCAGATTTCTGTGCCAGACTGTGACCATTGCATGTGGCCAGATGTTTCTGCTCAGCCAGGCTGGTGGGGCCACAAGCTGCATCATCTCAGCTCCTCTGGGCTGATGCAAGCCCGTTTATCTTGGGCTGTGGCAAGGGATGGAGAGCAGAGGGACCAGCAGGATGCTGGGTGAACAGCACTCAGAAACTTCCCAAGTGAATCCTTTTCCTGGGCTCAGCAGGGCAGCCAAGCCCAGAAGGGAATTCAGAGCTGGCCATCCTTTCTGGCATGTGTGGGACAACTGAGTCACAGCAGATCTGGGGAAAAGCCACAAGAAGGAGTCAGGTCATTTACCACTCAGCAGGCGTCAGAGGTTACCACCCCACGCTATTTTATTTTCTTCTAGATAAAGAATGCAGGGTATTTTAAAAATTCTTTCGCTGCAAATTTTCAAAGAAATCCAACAATCCCAGGCAAGTTCTAATTTGTCCATGTTTGTTGTGAAACATGGGCACCATAACTGGCAGCCCAGTCCATGAATGTGCCTACAAAACCAAAATACCTCCCTAACCCACTAGATTGCTCTAGATAAGATATCCATGGCTCCTAAAGTAATCTTCTATAGGCGTTTTGGCTCTCCTACCTCCCATGAGGCAGCCTAGGAAGGAGGAAAACAATGGTTTGAGGTGATGAATGCTCAGGAGGACACCCCTGGCTTTTCCTGCACTGGATCTATACTCATGTATGGATGGACATTCATTCATGACCACGAATCCAAGGTTTCTCCTGATGCCTGGGGTCTGTAAAGGCTGAAATTGGGTTTGAGAGACAGGCCAGGCAGGTAGAGGACACCTGCAGTGCTGCTGGAGGCAGGAAGGAATCCCCTGGGAATGCAGGACATGGAATCAGTCCCCAGGGTGCTCCTGTTGATTAATGACATGGGACAGCAACTTCTCTGAGCCTGAGCACACCTTCCTGGCCCCTGCAGGTAGAACTCAACCCACCAAAGCTGCTCAAGGCTGGGGTATTGCCACAAGCACCACAGTGAGGGAGAGCTGAGCTCTGGGACACAGGACACCCACCTGGCCAAAACTCTGGAGCAGCTCTTTGGAAAGGAGTGTTTCTACAAAATCCCAAATTCTGTGTGTCCCCCTGAGGCCTCTCAACCACCAGGCTGTTGGCTTTGTTTGTAAAGAATTGGCATTGGAATGTAGAAGAAACACTTTTCCCTCTGCCTTTATTTCAGGAGCTGATTGGAAGAAGACCTCATGCCATGGCAGAAAGGTGAGAGCCTGATTTAAACCCTTCAAAAAGGACATCACTGGCCCCAGGAGAGCCTGGCCCTGCCCTCAGCCAGAGGAGAAGGTTAGGGTTAGGGTTCTGCAGAGGCAGAACAGCCCCTCTGGTCTCTCAGGGTCACACTGTGCACTGCTCAGAGCTGGAAATCACCATTTCTTTGTGGGAATTTAGATAAACAGTGGTGGCAGAATGAAAGCCCTGGAGTGCTACCACAGGGGCATTAACCATCACACAGCAATGCTCTTCTGTGGTCTGGAAGAACTGAGTTGGGAGGGTTATTTTAAGGTCTAGGATGAATAAATTTCTGACCAAGTGCCCAGAAACTCCTTTGAGTCATTTTTTTTTTTAAAAAAAAAGCGAAGTAAAGATCATTAGATCTCATTTTAACAGTGATATCACTATTAAAATGCACAGGAACCTTGCACTGTGCTGGCATTGTGTTCTCACCTTTCACAAACATGTTCTAGACAGAGATGATAATCTCACAGCAACACTTCTGCTTCCTGCATGAATCTGACACTGTAAGGCAGATGTGGATAGAGTTTGGTATGTTCTGTGCTGAAAGCCTCAAACTGGTTTTTTGCCATTTCACTAAAGTGGAAGTATTTAATGATGAGCTGGTGTGTAGGAGCAGTGACATTTCTGCACTGTTATTCATCATGAACACTTTGGGCACACTGTGCTTTTCTCTTTGGCCCAGTGTCCTATTTCAGAGCAGATCCTCACACATTTATTCTGGTTATTTGTAAAAATGTTGCATTTAAATGCAACTGACAATCCAAACCCTGCCCTGTATTGCCAAATTTCTGAAGCTTATCCAGGATACCTTGTGGGTTGGCAGCTCAGAGGAAAAACAGACAAGAAGTTGAGAATGTAACAGAGCCATCAAATCCAAAATTTTCAGACTGAAACGAAAATAAAATCTTGATTCAGATCAAAACAAAATACCATTTCATCTCAAGAGGGAGAAATTCCCAGTGTTTTCCACCAACTCAAGTATCGTTATTAACAGGCAGTGGCTTTTCTCTCAGTGAGTGGAAATGCCAGTGATAGTCACAGGAAACTGGACAAGCCCTTTTGGTCTGAATAAGATGTTTGGGGCTGGACTCCCACAGCTGTGGAGCTGTGCAGTGCCTTTGTCCTGCCGTGGGTGTGCAGAGCCAGGGGGTGGAAAATCACCCCTCTTCTCTGCTCTGTGAAGAGTAATGAAGAATTTAGTGGCCCCTGGAGGGTGAGATTGCCATCCTGGGCCAAGGCCCAAGGACCTCACTTGGGTACAAAGGCCCCATTTTGTTTCAGCATTTCAGCATTTTTGGAACAAAATGTCCCTGGCTAATCTCAAACACAACATTTTGCTGGTGAGAGGAAGGGAATATAAACGTGGCTAGATCTGAATTGACCGTGAAATAATTTTCAATGATTTAATTGATAATTTGGTTGTTCTTGTGGCAGAAATTGACTCTGGGTTTCCTCAGAGACACAAACCTCAGGCTGTCCTGAGCAGAGAGTGGCTGTGAGGTGCTGGCACAGGTGACTGAAGGGTGGCCAAGGGTCCTGCAGCTGCTCCCCAGCCAGAGCTGGGCTCACCACGTGCTGTTCCCTCAGTGGCAGGTGCCAGTGGCAGTGCCAGCTCCCAGGTGGGCTCAGGACAGGCCATTCCATTCCTGGCAGAGCTGCTGAAGCTCCAGGTGCTGCTCAGCAGGACATGGCAAAGCCCACGCCAAGGTCATGGGAGCAGTGACCACTGCCACACAGGGGACACTTCTGTGTGCGGTGACAAGGGACAACCTGCTGCCTCCACCAGCTTCCCTGGGACAAGAGCCAGGGCTGGGAAAAGTGGGCTTGGGTTTCTGGGAAGGGAATGGCCCAGCAGGAGCAAACAGTGGAGAGATCTCAGCTGCTGGTGCTGAGCATGGGAGCTCTGGATTGAGCTGGAGGAACCAGCTCCCTCCCATCCCTAGCTGGGGTCACAGGCCAGCCCAGCAGGCAGATGGTCCATTAGTTTAGGTAGGGCTGATCCTGGCAGGGAAGGGGGGAGGCTTCCTGAGGTCTTTCTCCTCCCAGCTGTCCATGGGAATTACTGGCAGCTCCTCACTATGGGTGGATTTCCTTCTCCCTGCCTCCCCTGGCCCTGTGCCCGAGGCAGGGCGATGTGCTGGAACTGGGAATGTGTTCCAGTTGTGGGTGCACCTGGGGCAGCCCCTTTCTGGGGGACCAGGGCTGCCCAGGCTGGCTCTGGTGCCACATCTGGGCTGCCCAGGTTGGTCTGGTGCCACATCTGGGCTGCCCAGGCTGGCTCTGGTGCCACATCTGGGCTGCCCAGGCTGGCTCTGGTGCCACATCTGGGCTGCCCCTCACAGGGATGAGCCAGGGGTTGAGCCAGGCTCCTGCTGTGGTCCCCCTCAGCCCTTCCCTGAGGTCCTTGGCAGTGCAGGGGTTTAATGGAGCTTTCTGTGACCTCCTGCAGGTGTGTGAGCTTGTGGCAGCAAGGTTGTTCCCAGGCTGTGTGAAGTGCAGGATGGACACCCCTGACTCGCTCCCACCTGGTGAATGCCTGCAGTCTCCCACAGAATGCACTTCAGAGCAGTTCTGTGTGCTCAGCTCTGGCTCAGGGAGCTCAGCTCTGGCTCAGGGAGCTGGGCTGTGCCTCTGCAGCCCCGTGTGTGCCACAGGGATGCATGCACAGAGCCCACCTGGCCTTCCAGGACTGCAGAAGATGAAGAGCCTGGCTGGTGGCAGGGTCCTCAGCAGAGGTGGAGCTGCCAGAGCAGACACAGGGCTCACCTTGGCAGGTTTTTGTCCTGGTGTCCAGTGTGGAGTGTCTCAGCACTGCCTCTCCTCCCTCACCTCCAACTGGGGAAGGAACAAATGAGCCCAGGTGGAAGCAGAGGAGGCTTGAGGGAGCTCTGCTCCTCTGCTCTCAGAGTTCAGGCTGTGCCTGCTCAGCTCCACCAGGTGTGAGAGCCTGAGAGGAGACACTACAGAAACACTGGGGCTGGAAGGATCCCTGGAGGTCACTAATCCAACCTCCCATGCCAAACACGGGGCAGGACACTCCTGGCCTTGTCCAGAAAATCTCTGTGCAGCACATCTCCAGGATTCCAGCTGCTGAACCAGTCCCAAAAGTGACCAGGGGCAGGTAAACAGGCACAGGGGAGGAAGGACCTGTTCTTATCCTGGGCAGGATAGGGCTGGAGCAGTAATGACCTCCCCAGGGAACCCTGTTCCCTTCTGCTTCCCCTCCAGGCTACAATCACCCACAGCATGGCCAGACCCTGGGTGGGAACCCCCAATGCTCAGGATGAACAGAGGGAGTTAAAGCATCCCCTCCCCATGGGACTCAGCAAGGAAGCTGCTGGATGTGCTCATCCTGAGCTGGAATCAGAGCATTCATGCCATTATGTGTCTGGAAAAGGATCTGTATTCCCATGAAAGCTCCAGAGGACTGGCACACCTTGCTCTGTGTCATCTGCTCTCAAAGGTCTGCAAGAAAAAGCTTAGCAAGTAAATACTTGCAGGGGCTTTGCCAACTAGCACTTAAAAACTACAAAAATGCCATGTTTTACTGGCCAAAACCTCTTCCAAACTTAGACCAAACGAGAAGAATTCCCAGCAGCTCTGGTGGTAAGAGAGGAGGTTTGGTTTTTCTTTTTCTTTTCTTTTTTATTTTGTTTTTTTTTTGTTAGTTTGTTTTTCAAAAAGCCATTTTGTGTCAAAACAACATTTTAGATGCAAACTTCCAATCAGCTCAGGGGACAGCCGAGCACTGAGCTTGTGGGTTTCCCTTCTGCATCTCTGAGTCATTGTGAGAACAGAGGGTCTCTATTTTTAGGCTCTGCACACAGTAACTGATACCAGCTACAGAGCCAGGCTGCTCTTCCACAGCCACTCACAGCTGCAAAACCTCACTCCTGGCTCACTGGTGCTCCCTGGGTCTGGTTTGGCCTCACAGATGGGTGTGTTTGTGGAGAGGAGCAGCAGGAGATGGAGCTGTGACCCTCCCAGGAGCTGTGCCAGTCGATAGCCACCGTGCCAGGGGTCACTGTGCCACATTGCCCCCCTGTGCTGGAGGGTGACAAGAGCCAGTCCTGCACAAGCATTAGCTGCTGTCTTTGGCTTTTGCATCATTTTCTCCCAAAAATGCAGGAGTTTGATTTTACCTTGGTTTTCTTTTTTTTTTTTATGGTAACTGCAGCAGAAAGTTTTGAGTTTTATTTACTAAATCCGACCACCCAAACCTGACAGCTTGAGAACTACTTGGATTTGAGCTTGGCACAGTGATGCCACCTGAGAGAAAAGCACCTTGTGGCCCTCTCCTGCCTGAACTGGTTTCACTGGTGGGGCTGGGGTCATGAATTTTTGTATGCTTTGTTTATAAAGAATTGGCATTGAAATATAGAAGAAACACTTTTCCCTCTGCCTTTATTTCAGGAGCTGGTTGGGAGGAGACCATGAGTTTTAAGAAGCTGCATTGGGTGCAGAAGAGCACAGGGACTGTGATGGAGAGAGTCCTGCCTGGGCCAGATGTGGCCTTAGAGACCAAAGGGGTATTTTTTGAGTGTATGAATTATTAATCCTGGGTGGAAATGAATGGTTTTCCCAGTACCACTTTTGGGCCTGCCCAAAAAAGCAAGACAGAGACTTCCATAACCCAGCAGGGAGGGGAAGCACGACGTGTGTAGGTGCATCTGTGGGCTGCAGGACGTGTGGGATAGCACAGGGGGAAGGCAGCAGGTACCTGGCCAAGCCAAATGGTTAAAGAAGAGATGTTGTAAAGAGAGCTGAGGACACTTGAGGTGAAGGTAACCTGCCTGAGACACCAAAGTTCTGTTGTAGGATGAGCTTGGTTACAGTCAGCCTGAGAGATCCACACTTCAATTATTGTGCTGAGGGCATTCACACACGTCAGCTCCATGGAACTGTGCTCATTAACCACGGCTGAAGCCACACAGCACCAAGTGCAGCCTTGGAAGGATGTGTGTGAGATGGAAAAAAGTCACCCAACACAAGCCCTTCAAGCCATTTTCTGCCCCAAGAGATGCTGCTCCTGTAGTCTTGACAAAAAGCCCTGAAGCAGAAAGAGAAAGCAGGGATGGGAAGGTCCAGTTCCTCTAAACCCATGTGTTCACTTTCTTCCCTGAACCATTTTAAGAAGTGCAGAAACAGCAGGCTTTGCTCATCTTCCATGGCTCTGGCACGATTCCACGCAAGCATTTCAGTTCTGATGTGGAATACAGAGTGTAAAATCCCAGCATGGACCAGACAGATCTCACTGCCCTGCTGGCACAGGTTGCTCAGTGTTTGTGGAGGCAAATCCTAAAGGACAGACCCTCCGTGGTCCCTCTGGGCCCCTGTCCCAGTGCTTGACCACTGGAACGAGCCCTTACTGGCTCACCCCTGCCTTTCTGGGCAGTCAGCTCTTCATGAGAGCTTTGTGAGTCAGCTCTACATTGTCCCAGCCAGACCTTGGCACATTTCCCTGTCAGGGTGGGCAGGACCTGGCACAGGGTGCCCACAGAAGCTGTGGCTGCCTCTGGATCCCTGGGAATGTCCTGGCTGGATGGGGCTTGGAGCAGCCTGGCCGAGTGGAAGGTGTCCCTGCCCATGGCAGAGGGTGGAACGAGATGAATTTTAAAGTCCCTTCCAACCCAAGCCATGCTGGCATTATATGATTTTAAGGCTGTTACAGCCCCGTGGCTCCATGGGCAAGGTAAATTCTCACACCTTTTGCAAAAGCTGATTGCTGAGCAATGTCTGCCCATGGGCCTTTGGGCAGTCCCCACCTTCCCTTCTCTGCCACATGGAGTTGTGGAGCTCCATGGAAACAAGGTCCAGCTTTGAGAAGCACAATGGTGAGGGGTCTCTGGAGGGAAGATCTTGGCCAAAGCTGCAGGAGCCACGTGTAGGGATGTCACTGTCGGACGTGAAACAATTCACACAGATGTAGTTTGAAGTGGGATGAAAAAAGAAGAGGGTTTATTTTGTTTTTTCAGTATTTATAGGTTTTTGACAATGACCAGGGATTGGATAGTCAAGTTAACACCTTCCCAACCACACTGGCCGTGAGAGACATCCATCAAAAGGCATATCTTTAATGGAATGTATAAACACCTATGTTTATGGTTACTTTCCTGGGAAAGTGGCTAGAAATGATAAAAACAATATCGAAAGGCCTGATTCTCAAGGCGACATAGGAGATCTTGTTCTCTAGAAGACATCCCTTCCCCTGCCTGTGCTCAGGAAATGTGATTTCAGAAAGGAAGGAGAGTTTCCACTCTGTAGCTTGTGAGAGGCTCAGTGCAGCTCCTGCCCAAAGCCCTGGGACCTCTCTCAGGCAGCAGAGGCTCACATGTGCCTTCCTCCTGCTCCCATGCCAGGTCTGTGCTGTCCCACTCTGTTCAAAAGTGCTTTTTCCTCCTGAGCCAGTGGCCCTGGCTGCAGGGCTGCTGGAGGCTGAGAGGGATGGGCCAGCAGACTCCAGTTTGTGAGCCCTGTGTGTGCAGGGGTGTCCTTTGTTCACTCCACCCGTGTTGGGAGAGCACATCTGCTGCTCTCCAGCTCTCAGCAGTGCTTGCATCACTGGGCTCCGTTTGTAAACGCATTAACAAAACTCTTCAGCAATAATAAGCTTTAACTAACGAGTGGCAACTGGTGAATGGAGCCTCCATCTGTTCTCACCCGCAATGTGCAAAGTCTACCAAAGTCAATGGACTTCTCCCTGCTGAATTCAGTGGGCCTTTTGCCAAAATCTGGGTGAATAAAATGACGCTTGTGCATATATTTATGAATGGTGAGGAGGGGGATAGGTGCAAATCCAGCATCCACTAAGCACCCATGAAACTGTTATTAACACGGTTTTATGTGAATCCCAGCAATTTCCTGTCTGAAAACTTCACCTTCTGGGGCAGGGAGAGGAACTTCATAGCCCTGGGACAGCACCTGTGCTGTGTCAGCAGAGGGTCACGTCTGAAAACAATGACATTGCAGGAGGACACCCCGTGGAAAAGTGGATTTTGAAGCCTTCATCACTGTACCTGTGTCTAATCTAATTAGTCTTGGCATTTATTTATGGCAGACAATCTCTGCTGTCGCAGTGTTCATTTAGTTATTAAAAAAAAATCCAGCATTTTTGTGATTCCTATGAAGGAAAAAAGGTTGGGAAAGAATTCCATGCAACTGTGTGCAATGTAGCCTGCTCTGAAGTCATTTATTTCTCAAGAGCTGCTGAAATGACACCCAGGGACTCAGCAGATAATGAGCCAAATTATCTATCAAATGACTTTAACATCCCTCTGGAAGGGCAGGCATTGTCCTTCCAGATACCACCTGGATGTGCTGAGTTGCCACCGGCAGCTGGAGAGAAAAAGCAAGGAATTCACCTGGATTAGTTCAGATCCAACCTCCAGTGTCAGCTCTCAAGTGATGTTCTGGCAGTTTGGGTAAAACACAGTGTGACATCTCCCACCTGAGCACAGGCAACCCCCTGGATTTTTGTGCTGCAAAAACTGGAGTCTTCAGTGAGAGAGCACCACAGCAGGAGACAGAGGAGGAGGAAGGTCAAGTGTCTTGGGACAAGTGGGAAGAAGTCTTGATGGTGTCAGGAAAATGAATCCACAAACACCAGAGGTTTGTGTCCAAAAAGGAGACAGAGGAGTCCTTTTACTTTATTCAGATAAAAGGAGAGACCCCAGGGGAATGCCCCATGGCCTCTCCCTTTATTCAAATAAAGTAAAAGGACTCCTCTGTCTCCTTTTTGGACACGAACCTCTGGTGTTTGTGGATTAATTTTCCTGACAAAGGCATCACAGAGTCTTCCAGAGTGGAGCTGAGAACTGGGCAGGGACAAGGCTCTGTGCACCACATTGCCTGAAGGTTCTGACTCCTGGCCTGCTCACAGGAGCCATCAGTGTGAAACAGCTTTTTTTTTTTCCTTGCTTGCAATCCCTTCTGCCTCCATCTGTATGTGTCCCCGAGGCAAAGATAAAATCCTCCTTTCCACCTGATGCCCATAAGGTGTTTGTTATTGCCTCAGCTTCCCTTTGCAAGGTGTGTGGCATGAATGGACATACCCAAAAAGAGCCCAAAGGGCTCCTGTGTCTGCAGGCTCCTCCTGACCCCCCAGAGTTCACAGTGCCAGCATTTTGTCCTCCTGCAGTGTCCTCCCCGTTCTCCAGGCAGCTCCCAGTTATTCCTGGCAAAAAGGATGCATTTCACTCAGCAATAAAGCAAAAAAAAAAAAAAAAAAAACAACCCCAAACCCAGTTTCCCATAAATTTTAAAACACGAATGACAGCAACAGAGATTGGGAATGAATTGGGTATTTAACTCCACCTTATAACTTCAGGTTCATGTTCCCCAAAGAGATACCTGCTGCCTCAGCCCTTCTCCTCAAAGTTTTGGGAGTGATGAAGTTGTGGTCACTGTGGGATTTAATTTGTTATTTATTTCCTTGTGTGGAATGGGTTGAATTTCAAGATTTTGGGCAGCAGAAAGGAACCAAGCTGGGAAAAGCCTTGAAGCCAGCAGCTCTGGTGGTGCTGGGAAGGTGGGTGATGGAGGAAAAACCTTCCCAGCACCTCCAAGATCTCTTTTCTTTTGCTCTGGCCCTTGCTAGTGGTTGCCTCATCAAATGCAAACATCTTAATGACTTGAGCTCTTCAGTGGATTTCCTCTCTATTATCCCAGCTAAGCTATTTGCTCTACTCACAAGCTGCCAAGCATTCCAGGTCATGGAAAATGCTTTGTAAACTTTTGCACATCATTAGATCCAAGTAGGACGCTTCTAAAGCAATGGAGAGGAGTTAAAAAGGCAATTTAGCTCTTATGAGAAATGCAGGTACCCTGGTGATAAGCTCTTGTCTCCCAAAGAGGATCTGTGAAGCAGTGAGCCAACTCTAACACGGGGAGGGACAAATCACACGCTTTTTTTTTTTTTTTTCCTAGGGGGATTTTGTTATTTTCCTGCTTGTGGGTGGTATTTTATACTTTAATAACACCCACCCCCCTTCCTACAGTGTCATTCGAGCTGACATCCCGCAAACTGTCACCTAAAGGTCAATTGCTCTGGGTTTCATCCCTGCAAGCAGAGCTTTGCTCTGACACCGGAGTCCCCATTCCAGGGCAGAGTGGCTCAGGTTCAGCTCCCTGGCAGATGGCATCTGTTTGCTGCTGCCCTTTTCCCCTCTCAATCAGGTTAGCACGCCTTCCTGTGCAGCACTTTTGTGCTGCTGGCACGTTTTTATGGCTGTAAATCAGATCTCCAGTGGCAGTGAGACAAAGCTTCCCGGGGCACCTGAAGCAGGAGTGTTCTCCTTGGGTTCATCCATCCCAGCCAGGAGCTCCTGTGCTCACTCCCTGTGTTTGGACACTGGATCTGTGCCCTCACCACAGCAGCTCATTGTGCAGTAAGCTTGTCCACAGGGCAAGTGATTTTTCTAGTGCTGACAACAATTTTGTACCTCACTGATGTGTTCAATGCTGTGTTAATCCCAAGCACACAAAATTAACTGCTGAGAAGGGGGAAGAGGAGAACCACGGCTTTTATGTT